ATTTAAATTATAATGCCTTTAAATTAAATCAGTACTGTAGGCAGCAACACTTTCGGTAACATAGACGTTACACGTAACTGCTACATAGCAGTCATGGCATTTTTTTGTATAGTACAGGTATCCATAATTCATGTATCCAGTGTACGGTGATTTTTTCTAGCAGTGATACGTGACACATCTCGACAGCACTGGTTATAGTGAAACGGAGAACGGTGAATAGGGACACGGTAAGCTGAAATAATTTCAGAATAGCTGCGCATGATCATGTGCATGTAATGACCTGGAAATGCGAGAAGTCGTATTTTACTGATTACGATGGACCGAATTTTAACGGTATTGGAAAGAGTTGGGTCGTACGTGGACATGAGTAATTACTGGATGATTATTAATTATGGGCCATTAAGGCAGAATCAGCAGAAGTCGACAAGTTCATGGAACTGTGACGTACAAGCGCTTAGGGCGTGCAGTGAACATCAAGCCAACCTTTCAGAGCGAGCGTTTTCAAAATGCAGTTCTTCCTGAACCCAAAATCTTCTTGTGGAGTTTAAGCGAAAGCGTACCAAGTGCCACGCGTCTATTCATTTACGTCACTTCAGGTTTTAAGCTACATGCAGAAGGAAGAAAACTCTCTCAGTGCGTTAGTGTCTAAGTTCCTCTCCACGCATTTAGGCAACACTTGTCTTGTGAGATGGTGCCTCGTATTGAAATGTCTTGAACTTTTTTTCTGAGAAAATGATATGGAACGTTCGCTACGCTTTAGGATTGGTGGAAAGTGGAAGTGAATGACAGACAGGGTTTCGTTCCGGCGGCCTACGTGAAAAAGGTAGATTCGACGTTGTCAGCAAGTCAGCAAGAGTTGCTTGAGACAAGTAGCATCGCAGCCAAGCAGAATCAGATTGAGCAGTTGTACAGACACTTGATGGAGCTCGGTTCTCAGCGCCGGAAGAAGTTGGAAGAATCCTGCAAGGGCTATCAGCTGCTGCGTCAGGCCAACGAGTTAGCTGACTGGATTCGAGCCAAGGTATGGACTCATGATATTTTTGAAATTTTATTGCTGAAGCGTCTTTGCACAGGAACAAATTGCCACAAGCCATGAAATCGGTCAAGACCTCGAGGAGGTTGAAGTGTTGCAGAAGAAATTCGACGATTTTCAGGCTGATTTGCGGGCGAATGAGGTTCGTCTTGGTGCCATGAATCAGATATCCGCAGCCTTGACGTCTCTCGGTCAAACAGAAGCTGCCGAAAAAATTAAGCAGCAAATCGAGGTAAAATTTTTATTCACTGGTTTGCTTGACTCTTCTTCAGCGACCTTCTCATCTTCAGACGTTGAATGCAAGATGGCAAACGTTGCAAGAGGTGGCGGCACAGCGCGCTCAGCAGCTCGGGTCAGCTCATGAGGTTCAACGCTTTCACAGGTTTGTGGCGATACTGTGACGGCGACGCATTGGAAAAATTTTTGAATCTTTGCATTTGTCACAACATTTTCTTCCTTTCGCGATTTGTGCTTCAGAAACGAAAATTACATGGTGTTCCTTGTTGATGCTTAGTTTTGCTAACTTTGTAGGATTTCCATAACTCTGAGATTTCAGATGTTGCCCCACCGTCAAAAATCTGATATTCTCAGAACTGGGCCAGCCAACAGTATAACCTTCTGATCTACGTCAGATTAACTTTTAATGGAAAACAGTAATTGAGTCAGTGCATAGATTGAATGATTCACGTTTAGTGCACTTGCAAATCATTCATTTTTTATAGTTAATGTCGATTCGCGCCAGCACATATGAAGATGAATCTCCTCATTTAATGCACATGAAAATCAACGGATTTTTAGGAAACGGACATTTAGGAAAATAATGACATTGTTCTCAAAATAAACACTAAAAGAAACACAAGATGTGTTAAATCTGAAACGATTCAGATTCAGAGACAAATTCAGGAAGCGGGAAACATTGCAGTAACGGTCTATTAAAACAAACGTAGAACCATATGAAGCAGTTATATAGAACCGTCGACTCGAGCAGAACGTAATAGTCTATGTCCTTACCCATTATGGCAGATGAACTGGCATTGCCTTATGTACTCTGTGTTTCTTGGTAGAAATATTTTGTTTTTACCAGGCGACGCTTTCTAGCTCTGTGTTGTATCTGCTTAAAAGAGTTGAACAGTTTAACGCGCGTGGGATTGTGGCTGTTTCGAAAATGAACATGAAGTCGATGTCACAACTGTCATGCTGTTATTACAAACATCTCAGCAATGTTCGTTATATAATGTTTGAGATCTTGAAAAAATCTTAATTTTCAAATATCTTAAATTCTTCCTTGCAGTAAAGGGTATTGAAAGCAGGACTGCCACTGTAATTAAATATTTAGGTAGTATTTTAAGTTTACGCCAGTAAAAAGCTATTTAGTGAACACACAGTGCAGTGGTTTTGCCAGTTTGATAAATGCTACACCTGAGTAGAGCGGTAAATCATCTGCAGTCAGTTGTGCTCAGTAGATCATTTTTTCTTTTGCTTGCATTGCGAATGAAACAGTCGACGTGTTGCGGGTATGTTTCACTTTTGGTTTTAGCCTTAATTGTAACCGACGTCATTGTTCAAGTAAAAACCTTTTTCAGGGATGTAGATGAGGCTAAAGACTGGATGAGTGAAAAAGACACCGCTCTTGATTCGGAAGATTTTGGTCGTGATCTGCGGTCTGTTCAGGCTTTGCAACGGAAGCACGATGGTTTGGAGCGCGACTTAGCCGCGCTGGGCGACAAGGTTTCAAAAACAACCTTCTAGTTTTTGGTTGTTGTTTAATCGTTTTATTTTGTTTCAAGATTCGACAACTCGACGAAACGGCCAACCGTTTGCGGCAGACACACCCAGAGGCGGCCGAACAAATTTACAAGCTGCAGTGCCATTTGAACGAAAAATGGGCCAACCTGACATCGAAATCTAATCAGAGGAAGGACAAGTTGCTTGATTCTTACGACTACCAACGTTTCCTGTCCGACTTTCGGTAAACTTGTCCTCTTTCTACTTGGTTTGTTGAGGCGTTTGTTTTTACGAGAAAGTTTTCAGCGACTTACTGCGTTGGATAAACAATATGATGCAGCTGGTGAACAGCGACGAACTGGCGATCGACGTTACCGGCGCAGAAGCGTTGCTGGAACGCCATCAAGAGTACAGAACAGAGATAGACGCAAGAGACGCGACGTTTCAAGCATTTGAAGCGTTCGGAAATCAGCTGCTGGGCGTCAAGCACTATGCATCGGCAGATGTTCAGGAAAAGCTGGCCAAGATAGCTGATGCAAGACAGGAATTGGAAAAGTCAGTTATCGTCTAAACAGCGTTTTATATTCAATGAATTGTGCCCCTGTTTAGTGCATGGATTGCGCGGCGCATGAAGCTCGACCAGTGTCTAGAACTGCAGCTGTTTTACCGCGACTGCGAACAGGCTGAAAACTGGATGTCCAGTCGCGAGGCTTTCCTTAGCCAGGAGCAGGTGTCGCCGGATAACGTTGAATCGTTGATCAAGAAGCACGAAGACTTTGACAAAGCAATCAATTCGCAACAGGAAAAGATTTCAGCGCTGCAGCTTTTTGCCGATCAGCTAATCAATTCGAACCATTATGATTCAGCAGCGGTCATCGCGAAGAGAAACCAGGTGTTGGATCGGTAAGCTGCAGCTTCTTATTACCGTTTGTGCAGAGATGTACAGGAACTTGTCGTCGGTATAGATGGGGAAAGCTGAAACAGGCGCTGATCGAAAAGCGCAGCAAACTTGGTGAATCACAGACCCTGCAGCAGTTTTCACGAGATGCCGACGAGATCGAGAACTGGATAACAGAGAAACTGCAGATCGCTCTCGAGGAGTCTTACCGTGACCCAGCCAACATACAGGTTTGTAATTAGCTGGATCTGACTGATTGACTGACCCACCGTTTGATATTTCGTTTGTAGAGCAAGCATCAGAAGCAGCAAGCGTTTGAAGCGGAACTTGGTGCCAATTCGGACCGCATTCAAACACTGATTCAAGCTGGACAACGTACGAGCGCATGCTTTCAGACGTAAAATTGCCGCTATGATCTCGTTCGAACGCGTCTTTTCAGATCTGATCAACGGCAAGAAATGCGCCGGCAACGAAAATGCCGTCGCGCAACGACTGCAAGGTCTCAACGACCAGTGGGAAATGCTGGTTCAGAAAACCACGGAAAAGAGCTACCGTTTGAAAGAGGCTAGCAAGCAGCAAAGCTTTATTGCAGCCGTAAAGGATCTAGAATTTTGGCTTGGAGAAGTAAGCGTTGTTCGATAATCCTCAGCTGATTAGTTGGTGGGTAAAATATCGACCACAGTAGTCAGTCATATGCGCCCAGCGAATCTCGAAAAAAGTTTTGTACAGTAGCGAAATTACACTAGATCAAATCGGTGATGGGAAACATGATACGAATTTGTTTTGAGAAAGTGAACTTTTGGGTCACTGTCTTTTCACATTGTATAATGAACGGTATTCAAGATCTGTTACAAGCCGTTGCCAAGACATAATTTGAAAATGGTATAAAGTGGCGCGCGCATAAGTTTGCGGGTGTTCTGCCTTAAAAAGGCCTACAAATAGCATTGTTAATGTGAAAGACAGCGGTGTTTGGTCAGCGGATTCAATTATGACGGATTGAATTGGACAGGCGGTTTGAACTGGCGCCTGATGCAGATGTTCTGCTCGGAATAGAAGCATTTACTTTTCAGATTTTCCTTCGTAAATGAGTATTAGAATCTTTTATCAGGCGTACTAGCCTCTTGCTGTTTAGTAAAGTAAGCTAATTCGTCGATGGCGGGAAACGCTAGCGTTGCATAGATGAAAACCTAAGGCGTCGTGCCATTTTCTTGGACATTTAAGTTCCGTTACTTTAACTAAATGAAAAAGGTCCTTATATACCGTGTGATTGGTTTAGGTCGAAACGTTGTTGGCTAGCGATGATTACGGCAAAGATTTGGCATCGGTGCAAAACTTGCTAAAGAAGCATCAGCTTATTGAGGCTGATATTACAGCGCACGCCGACCGCTTGAAGGACATGAACAGCCAGGCTAACAGTCTCTTGGAAAACGATCAATTCGACAGTGGCACGATCGGCGAGAGGCGGGCTGCGATCAACGATCGATACGAGAAGTAAGCATTGCATCCTGCGGAGTTCGAGCCAGTGGTCACGGATTAGGCATTAGGTAGTACGGGCATTTTAGGGTAAAAGATTTGGCTGCAAAACGGAAGGCAAAGTTGAACGAGTCGCTGAGATTGCACGAGTTCTTCAGGGACATCGACGACGAGGAATCCTGGATAAAGTATGAGAAACCGCAAAATCCTAATGGCATTGGAGAATGTGCATTACCGTCAACTCCTACGGCTCTTTTAGAGAAAAGCGCTTGTTGGTTAGTTCGGATGATTATGGACGAGATTTGACCGGCGTACAGAATCTGAAGAAGAAGCAGAAGCGGCTGGAGAATGAACTGGCCGCTCACGAGCCGAACATAAACGCTGTCATTCAGAAGGGCCAGGAACTGATTGACGCAGGACAAATGGGCAGCGACGAAATTAAGAAACGCACCGGTCAGTTGGAGAACAGCTGGAACAATCTGAACGAAGTTGCACGAAATAGGTAAGGTGCACAAGTTTGCGATGATAACTGACAGAAGCGACGGCTTGCAACGCGAGTCGGTAGGTAGCAGAAGGTTGTTCCTTGAGTTAGTCTCATCCTTCAGAAAGCCGTAAGCTGAAGTGAAATATGCTGTGTAGCTTGAACGAGTAACTGAGGTGCATCATTTGCAGTTACTTCCCAATTTTTGCGTTACTCTGTAAATAGGGGAGCAAAAAATTTGGCGGTAAGCGGTTTCCTGAGCTGTCTCGTAGACTTTGCTTCAGTGCTTGCAAGCTTCATTTACACATAAACTACAGCATCGTGCACGTACGAGGATTAGCAGAAGTTTTAAGCCGTCTCGACTGATCAGCATGCTACATGACACTTGCGTACGGTTGCGCTTGCTCCATGGTTGCGACTCTTAAAAAGCCGCCTATCACCCGTTTTGTTACGTTACGATCAAGGGGATAGGGTCGGCAGTCCACCGACCTCTACTAAATGTTTCCGTGTTGTTTGTCTGGGGCCCCTATTCCCCTATTATTTGTCGTCTCTGGCCGCAGTTCCTCTAGGTTTGGGAGCAGTAATTTGTCGAGTGGTCATGATTTTGCACCATTGTTTTGAGTGGGTTCTGACCAGCGGCGTAGCCGCCATCTGGCTCTAGGTTTGTCTCTTTCTTCCGATGAATTAATAAGATGAGTCGACTCGACAACTCTTCCCTGCGACATTCGTTCTAAATGTCCAGTGTTAGTAATCGTAGTTATCCTTCAGTTTGAGACGTGACACAAGCAGGTTTATCATCGACTGTTGTGCGATTCGAGCATGGTTTGTCATTCAGTATCATAGGCATCTTCTCGACGAGACTGCTGCGCGTGCAGCCAAATGCGCCAGCGTACTAAGCCAAAGCTTTGTTGGCTGTAAGTTGACTGCAAGAAAACCGTTTACGTATTCAAGCCCGCATTCAACCCCACGTGGAAATGACTCTATCCGGTCGCCCGCGTCAGAATGACTCTGCACCTTTCTTTGCAGTTGTTATTCATTAAGCGAATCTGTCGACTGCTTGACCTCTCATGGATGAACTGCGGTCCTTCGCTGAATTCCATTTACAGTCGGAACCATTTTCCCGTTGTGACGTTTATTCAGTGACCGCATCTAAGTACTTGCATGTCCCCGAAGGTGTGCCGAGACGCAAAAGTTAAAATAAGCTGACAAGTGTTTAGAAATGTCTTCCTCTGATCTGAAGAATCATTATATAAATGTTTAAATTTTGGCGTAACCTTTTACTTAGTATATTTTATGTTAGCTGTTCAGGTATTGGAAGAAGGCTGATTTTTTTCGTTTCTCTATACCATCCATCAGACATCATCGTCTGTTCGTTTTGTTCATGGGTCTTTCTTTTTCTTTAAATTACGTGGTGGAGGCGGGGCACGATACAAAACTTTCCTCGTGTATGTTTTAGCATCAAAATGTATCCAACTTTGGTGCTGCCTGAGTTAGCGTTTTGGATGTCGTTTTAGATAGAACTGATTCAATCAAGTTCTGTCAATCTCACTTAGGAGATCCTCGACGTCTTTTCGGGTTTATGATAGGTATTCTTTACCTTGTTGGGTTCAGAATAATGCGTTTCAGGTTCGGCGGTTCAGCATAATTCATCGCACTGGACTTAGTATTTCACCCTGTCATGCAATCCCATAATTTGACTTTACTCTCTGCCCATAGCGGTATTGAAATATAGGTAGCATCTTTCGATTCGAAATGATTTAACAGCAATAATTCCTAAAGCGCTCTCTTCGAATAGGCTTCACCTCAGCTAGTTCATTGAGGTGTTATTCATTTTACATGAATTTTCACGGCAATGCAAGCACTCAGCGGCAAAGTTAAAAGAGGGATCTCAACTCTCTGCGATATTGGGACTATCTTTTTTCGAATCGCCAGCCCCTCGAGAAGTTCGAGAACATCCGTGAGATTGTCAAACGCTACCGCAGCTACTCAAAATGATAAATGGCTCAAAAGTGAAACAAATTAATGATTATTATACGCGTTAT